TCCCAGACCCAGGCAAACCAGAGGATTGTCCGCTGTCCTGAGTTAAGTTAGGCTGAATTTTCCCTTGTCTGTTCTGCCTCTCGTCTCAACTGAACGCTGAGTTCTAGCCCCAGGTCTCCAGCATGTGTGCACACAGGCAGACGAAGCAGAGCCACATGGCACATCCCGCATCGCTCTGTGTGACTCTGGCCACCCCGCCTGGTTGTGTTGTGATACAGTATTGTAACAGAACTGCCAGGCCCGGGGTTTCCCCGCCAACTCTGCCTTCCACCCGGTGGGGTTGTGCGGAGCTTCCCAGCAGGGAAAGGTGGGAGGAAATTGTGCAGACTTGACGAACAAGGGAAATCCAATTCCTTTTACTATGTGGATGATAACTGTGTATAAAGGAGTCTAGCTGAGAAGTGGATTTGACCATGACATTTCACTGCTATTTGGGGCCTGCGTTTTATACGAGTGCTTGCCGCCTGCACGCAGGAGGTTTCACTGGGGTTCCAGAGGGTTCGCCCACTACTCAGCTCTGCTCTTCCAAACGTACTCTCTGATATCCCCAGCACCGCGGATAGAGATGGGACAATGGGACTTTTTTTTTTTTTTTTTTTTTTTTTTTTGAGAGACAGAGTCTTGCTCTGTCACCCAGGTTGGAGTGCAGTGGCTCAATCTTGGCTCACTGCGTCCTCTGCCTCCTGGAGTCAAATGATTCTCCTGCTTCAGCTTCCCTAGTAGCTGAGAGTACAGGTGTGAGCCACCATGCCCAGCTAACTTTTGTATTTTTTAGTAGAGGCGGGGTTTCACTGTATGTTGGCCAGGCTGGTCTCAAACTCCTGGCCTTGGGTAATCTGCCCACCTCAGCCTCCCAAAATGCTGGGATTACAGGTGTGAGTCACGGTGCCGAGACAGGACATTTCTGATGGCGCAGTGCCTCACTGTCTTTGGAGAGGACCCCAGTCTTGATTAGAAGTTGGAAAGATGAGCTCAGCATCTGTGCCTGGTGCTGGTGTGGCCTCAGACACTGTAGAACCCCGCAGGTTTTCATTTCTTTGCCTGTCAACCAGGGAAGCTATGACGGGGCACAGAGGGTTGCTGTGAGGTCTAATAAGACGCATGTGGGGTGAGGACGGCACACAGTGGGCACACAACACACATGAATTCCCACATCTGGATGTCCCTAGCTATGATTGTGGAATACACTCGGTACAGGTCCTCTACTCCTTCCGATCCTTTTCTCTTGGATCTGCAAATTTTATTTTCTAGTGATTAGCTGGACAGTCAGCACATCTGCAAATCAGAATGGCTGTGCTTAAAGCTAGAGGTCACATGCCAGGTATTTGTTTCTTTCCTGAAGGTGGCCAGCCCATCACAGGAGCACAAAAATGTCTGCTGCTGTGGGAAGAAGCCTTCCGGATGACATGAATGCTGCTGACGTTAGGAAGGAATAAAGATGGGCTGGAGCACCGTGTGGGGTTGCTTCCTGGGTTTCTGGTTGAGTCGTCTTGGACTTCCGCTTCACTCCTTTGCTGTGGGCCCCCATCAGGTAGTTAGCAGCTTCTCCAAATTGGAGTAGAAATAACTCCCCAAGGGCGTAGGGGGATCCCCTTACCGGGCCAGCCCTTTCTTCTACTGCCTACACAAATGTGCCCCTCTCAAGTCCCTAAATTGACAAGCCTCTGTTTCCTCCTCTGCAAAATAGGGATGCTAATGCCTATTGTACATAGGGTTGAAAGCTATGTGTGATTTTTGCCTGTAAAGCTGAATGCATAGTGGACATTGTTTTCTGGAATTTTCTTACCCCTTTTCGGTCTACCCTTAAAGATTATTTTCACTACACTGTGTCAGCAGCGTGAGGTGCAGCAGGAAGAGAGTCTGCCTCTCACATTCTCCTTACACATGCTTTAAAGTCTGATCTCTGGTCGTCTTTGTAAGCCCTTTGTTTGAGGGTATGTTAAAAACAAAGGTGAGTCATGTCATTATTCATTTTAGGAGATAAAATAGTTAAGATTAATATATGCACTGAATGTAAGAAAACTGAAAAATTAGTACATATTTATTACAGAGTCTAGAAAAGTCTAATACAGTAAAGACAATACAAATGCCCCATGATTCCATATCTAGGGATAAGTGCTATTAACATGTTGGTATATTTCTGGGGCTGGGTGTGGTGGCTCATGCCTGTAATCCCTGCACTTTGGGAGGCTGAGGTGGGTGCATCACTTGAGCCCAGGAATTCAAGACAAGCCTGGCCAACATGGCAAAACTCCATCTCTACTAAAAATACAGAAAATTAGCTGAGTGTGGTGGTGTGCATCCATAATCTCAGCTACTTGGGAGGAGGCTGAGGCATGAGGATGGCTTGAACCCAGGAGGTGGAGGTTGCAGTGAGCCAAGATCGGCCACTACACTCCAGCCTGGGCGACAGAGAGAGAGACTTCATCTCAAACACAACACAACACAACCCAACCCAACCCAACCCAACCCAACCCAACCCAACCCAACCCAACACAACCCAATACAACACAACCCAACACAACAAAACCATGTTGATATAGTTTTTTCTAATTTATTTTCTTTGTGCCCTTCTGTTTTAGGTCAGCTGCTAGTCACAGAGAATGGAAAGCGTCTGTCTTCCAAAGAGTTAGGTTACTTCACTGAGACCTATTTCCTTTGGGCTACATATGTATAAAACAGCAAATAGGTGAGAGGTGTCCAAAGGGTGCTCCTGTTCTGCATTCCAGGAGGCTTAGACATTGTGAACTCAGGGAACAGTTTTGCTCCTCAGTTGTTGCCTCCTGGAAGTGTCCCAGGCAGGATGTCAGAAACTCCTTCCCTCAGATATTGGTGAACCTTGAAGGTTGGAAAAGTGATTTACAGTTAAACGTTTTCTGCCATTTCCATGATCCCTCTTCATTGCTCTGATATTTTATTAATAATTAACATTTTCTGAGCACTTACCATTTTTCAGATATTTTGCTAAGCACGTTACTAGTATTAACTTACTTGGTCCTCGAAATGCTCTCATGAGATAGATCCTCTTATCAGCCCTATTTTACAGTTGAGGAAACTGAGGTATAAGGAGGTTTAAGCAAGGTCACACAGTAAGTGATGTACTAAAGTTAAATGACTTGTATTTATTGTGCATATAAAAATATATATGTGCATATATGAATGTATATACAGTATATAGAAAATATGTACAAGTATTTCTCTACTACCTCTATGCCCATCTATCACCTCTCTCTCTATCATTTATCTGTAACCTCTATCTATCTCTCTCTCTCATCAATATCTACCTACCTTGGCTGGGCGCAGTGGCTCGTCCCTGTAATCCCAGCACTTTGGGAAGCCCAGGCTGGTGGATCACTTGAGGTCAGGAGTTTGAGACCAGCCTGGATGACATGGTAAAACCCCCTCTCTACTGAAAAACACAAAAATTAGCCAGGATTGAGGGTGCCCGTCTGTAGTTCCAGCTACTCAGGAAGGTGATCTGAGGTGGGAGAATCACTGGAACCTGGGAGGCAGAGGTTGCAGTGAGCTGAGATCCGAGATCGTGCCACTGCACTCCAGCCTGGACAACAGAGTGAATGAGACTCTGTCTCAAAAAAAAGGTCACTCTTCGAGCAATGGTCAAAGCAGAGGCATCTACTGTCCAGCAGCTTAGGAAGCAGTGGTGATGGCAGAGCCTGAGAGACATCTGCTGGACAGTGCTGTTTCCTAACCAGATTCTGCCGGTCTGATTTTGGCTTTGGTTCTTCAAATCCAGACAGACTCAGCTCCCTGCTTCTTGCCTGTTGGAATGAGCATTGCAGCCTATTCAATAGCCATGGCTTCCCCTTCCTCATTCCTAACACAACCTTTTCTTTTTCTTTAATTTTCATGGGGGGTGCCCTAACCCTAGTTCCAAGGCCGGTCTCATCTAGTCAGGGCATGATTATCTCCTGGCAGGCTCTAACTCAAGATGGACCAATCAGACTGAGAGAAGGATTTGTGTCCCACAGTTGGAAAAAATATTTTCCTCTCTTACCTGCTACACATGAGCAAGAAAGCCTGACACCCTGATAGCCACTGCAGCCATCCTTGTGGATCCTGTGACCAGGTGGCCACTCTTCTAAGGCTGACATCGATTTGTCTCTTTCTCCAGCAGGACCAGAAGTGGACGGTTTAAGGTCCCCGGGTCCTTGTCATGTGTGTTTAGCTGTTTACCCACCACTGACAAACTTCTGCCAGGACCCATCTGTAGTGTAAAAGGGGAAGCCTGAATCCCTGGGAACGGCTTCTAGTGCTTCGGGAAGGGGCTCTGCGCCACCCCCCATTAAGGAAGTACTAACTGCCACGGTCGCGCTGGTGCAGGCGCTGTGCTGCACATTTCACGTGTTTTACTTAGGCCCTTTGGGCCTCCCGCTAGAACTTCCTTAATTGCCTTTCCCCACCTAAGCATCATTTAGCTTATAAACCAGAGGCAGCAAGCCAATTACCCACTGGAAAAACCTCAGCCAGGAAGCGGGGCATTAACCACACCAACTGGTGTCCCACAGCAAAGGTCTGAATGCAGATTCACATCCCAATCCGGTTCATAAGCAGAGGCGCGTGAAATAAGAAACTCCTTTTGAGAAAAAGGGAAATTAGGGGAGATACTGAAATTTTGCGTTGCATAGGCAACCACTCAACTGGTGACTAAAGTTTCTGATGTGCAAAATGGGGGTCTACTTCGAGGTCCCACAGCCTTTGATTCTTAGTCTGACACAATCTGGGTTGCTGTGAGCACAATCTGGGTTGCTCTTTGGGTGCTAAATCAACTATCTAATGAGGATCACAGAATACCTGTCTTCAAAGGGTGTTGTAGAATTAAATGAAATTAGTAAAACACGTGAAATGTGCAGCACAGCGCCTGCACCAGCGCGACCATGGCAGTTCGTACTTCTCCACGGTGTCTCAAGTTCCGAGGAACTGGGGTCGCGGGCGGGCGGAGTGCAGCTGGGACCCGGGCCGGGCGGCCTGCTTCTGCCCACGTGGGGCCGCGGCCCGTCGAATGACTCCTTGTAACGTGTTGGTGGTGGCGGCGGCGGTGGCGCGGGCTCTTCCGGGCGCCGCAGCTTCCTGCCAAGCACCGCGCAGCCGCCTGCGCCGCAGGATCCCCCGGTGCAGGCCTCGGCGCTGGTACGGATCCCGGGATTGAGCCGCGCGCGCCCTGCCCGGCCCTGCGCCGTACCCACCGCACGATGCGCGCGCTGCCGCCGCCCGCGCCGCTCCTGCCGCTGCTGCTGCTCGCGCTTCTGGTCGTTCCCGCCGCCCGCGCCAGCAGAGCCGAGTCCGTGTCCGCGCCGCAGCCCGAACCCGAGCGCGAGTCGCGGCCGCCGCCCGGCCCGGGCCCCGGGAACGCCACCCGGACCGGGTCTGGGGCGGCGGGCGGCGGCGGCAGCGCCAACAGCAGCGGCAGCGCCTTCGTGACCCGCATTTCCACCCTCCTCCGCGACCTACCCACCCTCAAGGCGGCCGTGATCGTGGCGTTCGCCTTCACCACCCTCCTCATCGCCTGCCTGCTGCTGCGCGTCTTCAGGTGGGCCCTTCCGCCCTGTTCCTTCCCCCGCCGGCCCACAGGGCGCCATCGCCAACCTGCTGCACCGCGCGCCTGTCCCACCTGCACGCACAGGTGCCCTGGGCCGGCCGCGCGCCTCCTGCCCTGCCCGGGACGGTGGGTGGGGGGCCGGGGTGCGCTCGTTTGGATTTTCCTGGTACATGTTTTAGGAGTGTTCTTTCCTCTCTTTAACGATATGTATGTCATAACTATTTGGTTCCAGTTGTTGACTTTCTGCTAATGCTAAACACTAACAAGAGCGCTCTGAATTCTGACAGCGTTTCCCCGAATTTATTTTTATAGTCATTTCACATTTTATAACCATTTCCCAAATTCAGAGAGGCAAAATGGCTCATCCAAGTAAACTCGGTGGTGAAGGTAGGACTTGAATCCAGGCCTATCTAACTTCAGTCTCGCTACTCCTTCTCCCCTCTACCATCTGGAGCTCTCTCACAGACCCCTACTTTTTCTTTCTCTTTTTCTTTTTTTCTCTCTTTTTCTTTCTTTGTTTCTTTCCCTTCCTTCCTTCCTTCTCCTCCTCCTCCTTCTTCTCCTTCCTCCTTCTCATCTTCTTCTTTTCTTTATTCTTTTTGCTACTGAAAGAAGCAGTTTCTAGCACTGGGGTGGGATAATGCCTCCCGGATTACACTAGAGGCATGCTTTGCACCAGGGATTGGAGCTGGGCTTCAGGATGCTTGGTGACCCTTGGTGGCCTCCCTCACTTTCTATTAGTGGGGGACGAAGATAGCTTTGCTAGGCTGCTGCCAAAGTTGCACAGATGAACATTCACAGGGGCATGAGGGATCTCGGAGGGCTTTTGGGTTGCTCACACTCAGGGATAGTGTCCGGTAAATTAGGAAGGATGTCCCAGGTCTTTGAGCCCTGTCCATCCTGTTGGACAGTGCTACGAGGGATGTGGGGACGTTTCCTTTCATGCCTGGGAAATTCTGTTTTTGCAGGAAATGAACAAAACCTGTCCTATTACTGAGGCCCACCCACCTGGAAATCAGGGTGTGTGTGTGTTGGCTGTTCACTGCTCCCTCTCTCTGCTTCCAAGCCTGCATACTGTGCCTTGATGTTTGATCAGCTGTGGAAGGTTGGGCTTCGGGGCTGGCCCTCGTGCAGGAGTAGAAATCAGACCAGAAAAAAGGCAGAGTTGGGAGCCATCTATGTTGAGCTTGGCTGTCAGTTCTATGGGACTTTGGGTCCAGGTGTTTCCTTCTTTGTCTGTAGGATTAGATGCCAGTGGTCTGAGAAAATGGAGAAAGGGGAAGTATGGTCCCACACTCACCCCACCATTCCCCACCTTGCCTCAGGCCACATTGTTCCTCACTCTGCTGGTTTCCTTGATGTTCTCTGGGTTGAAATGCTCCCATCTTCTTCCCATTCTTCCCACTGCCCTCAATTCTCTGTTTACAAACTCTAGCTAGCAGCTCCCTGTGGCCATGGCAATACTGGGTATGGCATTTGGGGCCCTTGCAAGCTGGCCCCAATCCGCAATGCAGTCATCAACCAGCACTTCTGAGCCTCATCCCTTGTCACTTGCTCCTTTTCTTAGGCTCTGTGGTTTCCCTCTTCTAGCCTAATTCTTGTTTCTATATTCTATGACTGCATGCAGCCACCAAGGCCCAGCTCCCATCCTCCTTCCTCTGTACAGTTTTCCTGGACATTTGAATGAGGCTGTCACTGTCCTTATCCCTAATCTGTGCATCCTTCAGCACAACCATGCCATGCTGGCTTGCTGCATTGAGTGCCCAGCGTCTGCACTTAGCAGAGAGCCCTCAAGTTTTCATCTTCATGTCTCCATGCCTGATGTGGGCCTGCCCTTCGGCAGAGGTGCCATTGTCATTTGCTGACTTCCTGATTGCTAGAGTTGGAGTGAAGGTTAATGCTGAGAGCAGCTCTGAGTCTGGAGGTTTGAAACGTTTGGTTCAAAATAGGCCATGGACTCCACAAGGCTGTGTATGTTTTTAGAAGGTATTTGAACTATTTTGCTAGTCTGCTGTTTATTACCCAGGAGTAAGGGAGGAAAGAAGGCAGCAGGCACCCAGATGCGACGGGTGTGAGCCTTGTGTTTGAGTGGGTAAGCCAGCACTCTGGCCTGAAGAGATGGGTCTTTAGTAGCTTGGGTGTGGTGTGCTGAAAGAAGTTTACGACTTCATCAGAGAAACCGGTTATGGACACAATCTGCCTTCCCAGGAAGGCAGTCTTGTTAGGGTGAGTTTGCAGGTGGACAGCTGCCACTCGGGATTCTGATATAGAGGGAACATTGTAACATTTCACAGCTTGTAAGGGCCCAGATGGTTCACGGTCCCCATGTGCCTCTTTGCAGATGTGAAAGTTACATCCCAGAGTGGAATAAGTCATTGCTAGATTCTAGAACACTGCAAGTTTGTGTGGCCAAGGCAGGGCCAGCACCTCATCTGTGTATTCAATTGTCGGTACTGTGGCCTTTCCCCTCTCCCATGCTCCCTGTAGCCTTGGTTCCTCAGCTCACCAAATGCCTGCTGTGCGGGCTGGGGTCCTCCTTGCTTTCTCCCTCTGTAGCTGCTTAGCATGCAGGCACCATGTTCTGGAAATTCTACCACCTGCGTCCGGGGAGACTATCTTATCTCTGCTTACACCACCTTCCCTGATGAAGGTTCACCACCTGTCACTGTTTCTACCTGTCTCTTCTGAATTGCAATAATAGCTCTTAAGTTGGGGTTCCTGCCTTCAACCTTTCCCTCTCCAGTCCATCCTCCCTCTTCTGCAGGAACGCTGGTCTCAGCCTCCTTTTACCCCTCCCAGCCAATTCTCCCCCTATACAAACTCGTTAATGTGTGGACAAGGCTGACTCTTCAAACCAGGGTGCTGTCTCCCTCTTGAGTCCCCATGTCGGCTCTGCTCTGTGCGCCTCCTGCTTTGCTGGAATTCCAGTGGTTCTCCAGAGGCACTGCGTGGCCTGAGCATCTTGTCCCAGTGTAACCCTCTGCTTGGAATCCCCTCTGCCACTAAGACTGCATGGTCAGCTCAGTGCTGTTTGTCCTCATTGCCATTGCCTCTTCTGAGAAGTCTCTCCAGCCAGGGCCCTTCTGTGCTTCCAAAGCACACTCGATTTCTGAATTTCCTCTTCAGAGTCAAGTGTTGCTGAAACTTCTTCTGAGCAGGACTAGGCATTCATCTTCTGTGTTTCCCTAATACCTAGTGTGGTTCCAGGCACAAGCTGGCATTTAATAAAGATATTTTTAGCAAAAGAATGTTGAATTCAAGGATTTTACGTTGCTGATGTCTCTCGAAATGTGCTAGGCTAGCTGTGTGACTGATGCTGGATACCTGTGAGATAGTATAGATGGAGCGTAGTAAGTGTGATTGCATATGAAATGGCAGTCCTGGCCTATTTGTCTGTTTTCTCTGAAGAAGTCACCTTATCAGACAGCAGAAAGAGTTTGGATCAAGGAAATTAGAAGCAGAGAATATGTATTTTAATGAAAAAGATGTATTCCATTAATCAAATGATTCCATTCTTAAAGTATGTCCATTTTCCACTGCACCATACATTCTTTGCTTCTAATGTTAATGATTAGAAGAGAAATCCAAGATGCAAGTATAATGATATTCAGAGAGGTTCTGTTTGATAGTGAAAAGGTTTAAATACCCCAAGTATCCAACAATTGGGCATCGGTTAATTAAAGTATGATAATCTTTATGGCAGAATGCTGTGCAGCTGTTAAAAATGATGACATTGAGATAATACTTGCCACATATTTTTGAGTGTGAAACAGGTCACAGAGTGACATGTATAGTATCAGCTCATTTAAATACATTATAAACATGTATATATGAATGTGCAAATAAATTTATGTGTGCATGTACCTGTGGATGATCGTCTTTTTTTTTTTTTTGTTATTGGTTGTATGTTTCTGCATAGTTTGAATTCTTTTACAATCCAGAAGCATGTAGTTATGATTTCTCTCCCTGTGTGTATGCTCAGCTCCTGGCTGCCATCCTGGATGTGTTTTTCTGAGTACCAGTATGAGAGCATCTGGGGTGTACACCTAGGAGTGGGCTTTCTGGGTCCTAGGGAGCGCTCATTCTTGAATAGGCACCAGTGTAGATCTCCATCTGCAGAGCCCGAGGGTTCTCAGATTCTCACATCATATCTGACACTTAGTATTATCTGGCTTTCTAATGCTTTCCAAATATACCAGTGGGTATAATTTGGTATTCATTGCTTTGTTTTGTATTTCCTCATTTTCTACCAAAGTTGAGCCCCTGTCACTTCCAAATGTGCTCCTTAATCAATCTGATTTCCCCATCTACCGTATCATATCCACCTTTTTCATGTATTTATCATTCAGGCAAACCGTTTTTAGACAGGAGACAAAACTGTAAGGAGGGAAAGCTGGTTGGAGACCGAGTGTCCTCTGGTGGGTGCTTTCACATGGAGTGAGAGTGGTCCGGCAGGCACCTGGTGTGGCGGACCCTCTGGGTCTGCTACTTGGCAGGTTTGTGGGAGCTGAACGGGAATCAACAAAGAGGCTATCTCTAGAAAGAAGAAAGCTGTGATTTCTCCTAATTTTTTGATATTGGGAAACATCTGGTGATGTTGCATGGATTCAGGATAACACACATAAGCCAGTGGCTGTGGCATCAGTACCTTTTGCCCCCTGCATTCACTCAGACCACTTTATTGTCTGAATTCTGGAAGGTATCTGACTTTACGCTCTGGTGTCTCTCATGAACAGGGTTGGGGCAGGTCAGGAAAACTCTGCCACCTTGAAACCACAATGTTCCTTTCATCTTGTGGGCCCTTTCCCAGTCGTGTAGAGTCTCCCATCTCCACGGCTCAGGTGCCAGTTCTCCCACGTCTCTGCTGGCTGCATGCCCAGATACTTCTTATTTAAAAATCTCTGTATAATTTACTTCTCTGAAAGGAGGGTTCTTAGTGGTGCTTCCTGAGGGATTGGGAAGTTGAATTCTAAGTGGTCGGACATTACCCA